CTTCCTGATGGGAGTCTTCTTGACGGAGACCTCCCGCTTGACGGCGCCCTTCTTGGTGCTGCTGACGTTGGGACACTCACGCCCCCAATGGCCCTTCTCGTGGCACAGCTTGCACTTGGTGACCTTCATCAGCTGCTCCTGAGTGAGGAAGCGTCTCCTGCCCTGAGGAGGCCGGTGTCCTGCTCCTCCAGCACCGCCTCCACGCTCGTCACGTTCTCGTCGCTGGCGACCTCCACCTCGCCCGGCTGACCGAGACGGATGAGAGGTCCTGCCACTGCCTCGACCACGGGAACATAAATATTCTCGATCGCGCCGAGCTGCGCGCTTGAGGTCCTTGTTCTGCTTCCAGGACCTGTTGTTCGTCAGCTCGGCTAGCACCAGCTCGGCGTCGTCCTCCTCGATGTCCATGTCATCGATCTCCGCGAGGAGGGCCGCCACGTCCTCTTCCTCGAGCTCGTCCGACTCGTCGGCTCCCTCGTCGTAGTCATCCTCTTCGTCCTCGACCACCTGGTAGTTGGCATCCTCCGACCTACCTTCACACCGACCGAGGTTAGGAGAGGAGGAGGAAGACTGAAAAGCACCAGCGTCCGAGCGAGCGCTCGGCCCTAGGTCTTCAGATGCTGCCGCTAGCATGCTGCCTGTCCCGGCTTTGCCGGGAAGCAGGCGCTCAGTGCCGGCTGATGAATCAAGCTGGCGCAGTGCCCACTTCACGCTGCTGTAGGTCAGATCCCCGCGAGTGAGCGTGCGCAAGTTCTGCACACCCTGCTGAGTGAGATTGGCCCCTTCCTCTAGGAAGAGACCCTTGAGCTTGTGGGACATCCATAAGTCGTGGCCCTCCGCGTCGATGAACTCTGCTTCACGACGACTCACGTACTGGGTGAGCGTCTCCTTGGAGTCGCGGACGGCCTCGTACAATGCTTTTCGTCCTGCCCGTCGTAGCTCGTCTCCTTCGCGCTCCCCGATCATCAAGTCCATGCGACTGAGGAGCGTCTGCAACCATGACGATGCGGTGAGCTCCCTGTCTGGGATGTCCTCGAACTTGGCCTGCATCGTCCAGTCGAAGAGCCGCATGAACTTCTCCGACCTCCTCCAGACCGCTACGTCGGTGTTGTCATTCCAGCGCCGAATGGCTCGGCGCCATTGTCTGTAGTGGGCCCAGCCGGGCCACGCTGGAGGGTCCGAAAAATCACCTCGGCCCCCAGTCCATTGGCCTGGCCACCAGTTGCTGTTCCAGCTCGAGCTCCAGTCCTGGTGCTCGTCCCACTTCTGATCCTCCTTCACGTCGTCCTTGTCGCCAGGTGGGCGCCGCTGTCCTGAATATCCTGCTGCTTCTCCGCTGCCCACCTCGGCGGCTTGTCTGGTTCTGCTGCTGCTCCACGGGTCGGCCCCCGTGCCGTCCCATGAGTCGGCCACCGTCGGTGCTGTCTCTGGCGGTGGCCGCTGCTGCTGTTGGCCAAAATGGCCGAGCGCCCGCACGGTCTCCTGGACCGCGGACTGTATTGCCCGAGTGAGCGTCTCCTGATCGATTGTCGTCGCCGCCGCGACTGTAGAGCCTGATGCTGCTGCTCCCGCCGTCGACCCCTCAGCCCCTCGGGCTGCCAGGACGGCGAAGGTCTCATCTCGTCCATCGCCTCCTGGGGCGATTGGCGGCGGCTGCCGCTCACCATCTGCGGGCATCTCTCTGCCGTGGATCCCACGCTGCTCAGCGGTCAGAGCGAAGCCTGGCTCCGGGGCGCGCAAGCGCCGAGCGGCCTGGCCGTCACAGCCAGCCTCTCGCGCCCATGGCCTCCGGGCTGGACCCCGCTCCGCTACCAACTGTGGCAGCAGGAGAGGGGACAGAATGTTTTCCCTTGAGCCACATGTGGCACGGACACGTACAAGATGGATATCTGTCCATCGGTCCCCAGAGTGAAACACCAAAAGCTAAACCTATACGTGAGATTATGGACCCCTGGAACACGTGGCCAGCGACGAACAAGGGGCAGGGCCACCACCGACAACGACTAGGATAGTTCAGCAGGGTGGATACACCTGACAGGTCCAGCCGTTCAAGCATAGGGACTTCAATTGAAGGATCCAGGTGCCAATCCGCCTAGCGACAAGCCTTCTTCTATAGGAGCACGTGGGTCACAGATGTAAACGCTGGCGAGCCCCAAAAGCAAGAGCGTGCCGTTTGGCACCGCACGGCACGAAACGGCAAACGCCGCGGCGCCCTGCGTACGTCATCTGATACTGTTCGTGGCATGCATCTCCAACTGAGTACCGTCACGTTCCACAACACACATCTCGTCCAGTCTCGCCCCAACGTATACTCCTACATTACAAAAGTTGTTCCCCCCTTGGCATGCCACGAGATCATCTCGTCCGATCGCCCTCACAAGCTCTCTTCCTCTCTGCGTGCCCCGTCGTGTCTCTATCATCCCTCCTCTTCCACGTCCTCCTCCCCCAACCCTTCATCCCTCCATCTCTTCATCCTCCTCAACATCCGCCTCATTCTCTGTCCTCCCTATCCCTGACTCTATGCTCTCTGCCTCCTCTTCTCTTCCCATTCCTTTTCCATCATCCTGCTCCCCCGCTTTCTCCAAGTGTTCCTGATCATTTTCCCTGCTGTATCAGCCGTCTGTCTTATCCCCTTATCCTCCCCCCTCCTGCCCCCCCCCTGTCCACGCCCCATTCCTCTTCGTTCCTCATTTCCCTCATTCTTCCTCTCCCATCCCGTCTACTACTCCACTACCTTCTCCTCCGCCTCCTGCTTCTCCTCCTCCTCCTCCTCCTCCTCCTCCTCCGCCTCCTCCTCTATTCTCGAGTGCAATTATTTCCCCGTATCCTCCCCCTCCTCGTCCCCCTCCGCGGCCTCCTCATTACGGCATCCTCTCCCCCCTCCACCTCATCCTCACATCCTCCTCCTCGCCATCGTCGTCTTTATTCCTTCTCCGCCCTACTCACTAGTCCTCATCTCCGCTCGCGTTGCCCTCCTTCTCCTCCTTCTCCTCCTCCTCCTCCTCCTCCTCTCCTCCTCCTCCTCCTCCTCCTCATCATCATCATCATCATCATCACCAACATCATCAGCATCATCATCATCATCATCATCAGCAGCATCATCATCAGCATCATCATCATCATCATCATCATCATCATCAGCAGCAGCATCAGCATCAGCATCATCATCATCATCATCATCATCATCATCAGCATCAGCATCAGCATCATCGTCATCGTCATCGTCATCGTCATCACCATCACCATAACCATCATCATCATCATCAGCATCATCATCATCATCATCATCATCATCATCATCATCATCATCCTCGTTATCACAAGATGCGTTCTCTCTGGCAAAGCCTGCAGCTCCACTAGCACAGGCAGCGTGTTGCTGAGAGCTACATTGCACATTCAGGAGTCATCAACACGGCAGTTAACCTTACAATCCGCATCATCGTCATCATCCTCCACAGCCTCCACAGCATCATCATCATCATCATCATCATCATCATCATCATCATCAGCATCATCATCATCATCATCGTCATCGTCATCGTCATCCTCATCAGCATCATCATAATTAGCAGCAGCATTATCATCATATTCATCATCATCACCATCAATCATCATCATCAGCATCAGCATCATCAGCATCAGCATCATCAGCAGCATCATCATTATCAGCATCATCATCATCGTCATCATCATCAGCATCATCAGCAGCATCAGCAGCATCATCATCAGCATAAGCATCCTCATTATCATCATCAGCATCGTCAGCATCAACAACATCATCTGCATCGCCATCATCATTATCATCAGAATCATCATCAGCATCATCAGTAGCACCAGCATCATCATCGTCATCAGCATCAGCATCATCGTCATCGTCATCATGATCATCATCATCCTCAGCATCATCATCACCACCACCACAATAATCGTAATTATCATCATCATTAGCAGCAGCATTATCCTAATCCTCCTGCTCCTCCTCCTCCTCCTTCCCATCATCATCATCATCATCATCATCATCATCATCATCATCATCATCATCATCAGCATCAGCATCATCATCATCATCATCATCATCATCATCATCATCATCATCATCATCATCAATGTCATCACTATTATCAGCATCATCATCATCATCATCATCATCATCATCATCATCATCATCATCATCATCGTCATCATCATCAGCATCAGCATCATCATCAGCATTCTCCTGATCCTCCCCCTCCTACTCCTCCTCCTCCTCCTCCCCATCATCATCATCATCATCATCATCATCATCATCATCATCATCATCATCATCATCATCATCATCATTATCATCAACACCATCATCATCAGCAGCATCACAATCATCACCAACATCATCAGCAGCATCAGCATCAGCACCAGCATCAGCATCATCAGCATCATCATCGTCATCATCATCGTCGCCACCATCATCATCATCATCATCATCATCATCATCATCATCATCATCATCTGAATCATCATTACCATCATCATCGTCATCGTCGTCATCTTCATCATCATCATCGTTATCATCACCGTCACAATCATCATCATCATCATCATCAGCATCATCATCATCATCATCATCTTCATCATCATCATCATCACCACCATCCTCATCATCATCGTCGTCATCATCACCATTTCCATCAGTATCACCACCAGCAGCATCATCGTGATCGCCATCCTCTGCGCCAAAACCGTTTGTGCTTCCTCCGTCGCCCTCTCTCACTCCGCTCGGCTGCCTGTTTTCACCCTCCCTCCCCCAAGATGAAGCCAGGACGAAGACAAAAACGGGTGAGGATAAATCGAGAATCTCTGAGATCCCGCAGTTCTGGAGGATGCCTCGGGCGCCGCGACCTTCTCAGAGCGTTCCGGAACACTCTGAGAGCGTTACGGAACGCCTGGGAACGGATTTATTCTCGTCCTCCTCTGCCTGCTTCCTCGTGACACCTTCTGCACAACTTTCAAGCGCAAACGGGGTCCTTGTCCTTGCCGTGGCCTTTCTCGCCGGCTTTGCCACCGCCCTTCGAAGACATACCGACCGCGCGGAAACACACACCTTGCCCCCCAAAACGTACTGCATGATCACGAGTTGGCGCGTGCAGAGTAAAATCAGCATACCTTGTATATAAATGGGTGGGATGGGAAACAGATGAGGCGAAGCATCGAGGAAGATGGGAATGGAGGGGTACCTAATGCACAGCCTGTGAACACCGCACTCAAGAACTGCCATTCGATATGCTTGATCATCCCATGGCCAACCTGCAGTGTACCCTACCACGCGAGTAAGGTGCTCGAATCTGCTAGAAGCTCGAACCCTCCCGATTGCAAATCTTCCAGGCCTCAGGACGACCCCACACGTAAATACGTGCCTGGCAGAGGCTCAAAAGAAGTCGGCCCCCTACTTGCCGAACACTCGATGACTGATCGTCCCGCACCTTTCCTGGGGAACTCGGAGCCGGCCACCTCAGGGTAGGGGTCGGTGCGGTCTCCGCACCGTTCACTCTATCGGCGCACGCAGGAGAAGAAGCCGTTTCACAACAGCATCCCCGAAGCTGTTTCGAAATTGCGAGGCTTCCAAATATTGGCTCGCGCATCCTCGGGATGCCGTTCCGAGATCTTACCGTCCTGACCAACGGCTCGACGAACTGTTGAATGGGCTTAGCATGCACCGCTAGTCAAATGTGCTCCTCTGAGGATCGAGATGAAAAGGGTAAGTTCGAGAAAAGTCGGCCTGCAGCGCAATTGCCTCGGCCAAAGGAGCTCAAGCTGAAAATACTGCATTGCTGAAAGAAAAGCCAACAAATACATATTGCAGTGTTCGGCCCGCGGACTCATTGAACCGTGAGACTGGCCCATCCTGGTCAAACGCGTTTCTGCAACGCACCAGACAAACAAAAAAAACAACATTGCCATCAAGGTAAGCAACTGAAGAACACAACGCTGGGAGGCAAGCAGGTCTCCTAGAAATCGTCTGCCTTTCCAAGAGCTACCTGGGGACGGACCCAACCACATGCGGGTGCGGGTACCGCACGGCAGGTGGGCCGAGGGAGGGGGAACTCCCGATGGGGCCACGATGCGTGCGCGGCGTGTGCCAAAGTGGAGGCGGGAGCGCCATGCGAACTCTTGCAGTTGGGCACTAGCCAGAGCTCTCTGAAGTAGGAACTCGGCCACAAGAGAAACCTTCCACAAGAAACCCAACCCTGAGACCCTGAGACCCCAGGACGCCCATTGATGTTTGGTGCGGGCACGTCACGCAGTTCTATAGCAAGACCATCGAAGCCCAAGAAACCCAGGGCACCCTGGTGGCAAGAGGGGTGTTTCTTGGCATGGGTCTCCACTGTATGGGGCCGCGAGACGTGTGAGGGGTGTCTCGGGATGAGTGTGGTAGTTGCAGTTGGTCTTCGCGTGTGTCGGAGATGCAACACGGAGAAGCGGACACACGAGGAAGAGAAACAAAGAGAGACGGCGATGATGACGATACTGTTGATACGGACTGGATAACATACTTAACAATGGCGGGGCCTACTTGTGTGGAGGGAATAGCGGGCCTCATCAAACGGGATTGTCAGGGGGCTCTCGGTACTGGATCCGTTGTTGCTTGCACCACTCTTGGGGGGCGGCCCCAGACGCGCTGTCAAATACTCGTTTGACCTGCCCCCCCGCTATTGTGATATTTAGCGTAGCCGTAACGGGTTGATGCGATCGCAAAGGCTTGCCGCAACGGGTCAACGGGTTACGTGTGGATGTAGCCCCTCACGACTGGTCTTCGCGTCTGTACGCACAGCCCCCAGGAGCAGCAGGCGTGCGAGGTAGAGCATGCCGTGTCGGTCTTCTGTGGAGCTCCTCTGGGTTTGAAGAGCATGGCAAGGACAAGCGAGATGAGCCCACAACTGCATGCGGTTTCCTTCGTTTCGGCCTTCTGAGGAGCTGCTACGGGGCTTGGAAAGCGCGGCGAGCGCGAGCGAAATGAGCCCAAGACTGCATGCGGACTTGTTCAATGTGGCCTTACGAGGAACCCCACTGGGGCTTGAAAAGAGTGGCGTAGGGCGAGAGAAAGGAGCCCACGACTGCACGCGAAATATTTCACCTCGGCCTTCTGTGGAGCTCTTACGGGGCTTGAAAAGCATGGCAGCGGCGAGCGAAACGAGCCCACGACTGCATGCGAACTTGTTCATTTCGGCCTTCTGTAGGCCTCTACTGGGGCTTGAAAAGCGCGGCATTGGGCGAGCAAAATGAGCCCACGAGGGCATGCGATGATTGTCACGTCGGCCTTCTGAGGAGCTCCTATGGGGCGTGGAAGGCGTGGCAGGGGCGAGCTGAGCCCACGACTGCATGCGAACTTTTTCACTTCGCCCTTATGTGAGGCTCCGATGGGGCTTGAGAAGCGTGGCAGGGGCGAACCAAATGAGCCCGCGACTGCATGCGAACTTTTTCACTGCGGCCTTATGTGGAGCTCCTATTGGGCTTGCAACATAGAGGGCGAGCGAAATGAGCCAGCGATTGCATGCGATACTCCATGGCGGCCTTCTGTGAAGCTCCTACGGGGCTTGAAAATCATGGCAGGGTTTGACGACATGCGCCCACAAGTGCATGCAGATTGTTTCGTTTCCGCCTTCTGTGGAGCTCGTACGGGGCTAAGAAAGCGCGACGGTGGCGAGCTAAATGCGCCCACGACTGCATCCGCGCTCGTTCGTTTCTGCCTTCTGTGGAGCTCTCAAGGGGCCTGAAAACCGTGGCACGGGTGAGCCAAGACAGGGGCAGGGATCGGGGGCGGCCAAGTGGGGGGCGTCCAAGAGCGGGGGTGCAAATCATGGCCGGCGGCATGAGCGCGGCCAACGGGGGGGCCCGGGACGCATTGAAACAAGAAGAGGCGCCATGATATCATGGCCCACGCCATGATATCATGGCAAGAATATGGGGAAATATCATGGCCCACGCCATGATATCCATCCCCCCCTAGTCATCACCCCCCTCTTTGCCGCCTCCGAGGGAGGGAAGACGGGGAGGGAGAACCGGAACGCGGGGCGCTGCTGGTTCCAGACGAGGACCCAGCACCACAGCGTGGCTGGGGATGACAAAAAACCTGCCCAAGGCCACGTGCGGAGCTCACTCTCTACCAGGGCAGGTCGCACGAGCAACGGCGCACGCGTGAGATTTGCCCGCTGCGCCCATCTACGACCAAAACGGGTACCAAACAAAACAGCTCCAGAAATGCCTATATCAGTTCGTCCGAAGCCCTGGCAGCATCCTGAGCACGCTTGCCTCCAGACCAGTTTCGAGTTTCTGCTGGTCAGCGCTCACATGCTGGTAGACACAAACGACGAGATCTCGAGCGAGACCAGCTGGTAAAGCCATGTCATGTTTGCACGGAACCCTACTACCACTGATATATTGCGATCGGTGGCCGCAGCCGGCTGTGTCCACCAGCTCGCGCGAGATATTCACCACACGAAGGTCGCCCCGGCGGCGCTGTTTGACATATCCCACTTGCCCTCTGGGCTGCAGGTGGCCCAACAGTATGCCCGAAGCTCCTCTCCGCAATCCGTGAACCCCCGAAAGAAAGGCTTTTGCGTTTGCGCGGCTTCTATCAGGGCGGTGCTCTGCGCCCCGACGCAAGCCAAGCAAGAGCAGGTGCTCGTCTCCGAACTCGGAGCACACGACAGGCACCAAGTGAAACAAGACGCTAAGTGCAGCCGACGGGAATGAGCAGAGTGGGAGAGGAGACGAGGAGGACAAGAGAGAAAAGAAGAAACAACGACTGCAAAGGAAAGGGGGGCACGCAGCAGGGCACACTTATACCCAAACACACAGACATGGTGCGCAGCTCCCATCTCCCATTGCCACGTCTCCCTGGCCCCAACTTCAGCGGATCCCTGGGCGTCGAAACGTCATCTTTGTCTATACAACCGATGACACCGACCTGAATTTACCCGATGCGAACCCTACCTTTTCTCCACGCAAGTCAACTAGTCATAGGAACGCTCCATACACGAGAACAAATTGCGGAATATGCAGCACTCTGAAATACTTCGCCTACCAATGTCGGGCCGCGCGCGTCGCGCACCTGCGCGGGCGCGGGCCACCGAGGACAAAACCATGCGCTAACAACCGTTCTGGCGCTTTGCGCTCTGATGCAACAGCGTCGCGCACAACGCGCCATGAGGTCACGCGCCACGCGTGCGCTCTGCACTCCGCCATGCCCCCCAGGAGCCCACGAAAATGGCAACGGCTGCACATTTCGCAAGCCCCAAGGCACCCGCGAGGTCTCATAAGATCTGCATTGCCCTCACTTCTGCCGTGCCTCCCACAGCCCACGAAATTGCCTCGAAGTGATCTGCGCTGCCCTCCACTCCGCTGGACCTCCCAGGAGCCCACGAAAGTGGCAACAAGTGCGCACATCGCAGCAACCCACGGCGCCACGACGTCTCGTCTGAATGCGCGTACACCTCCACTCTGGTGGACCTATAAGGAGCCCACGACAGTGGCGGCAAACGCTCGGCTCGCAGCCACCCCGGGAGCCGCAAGGTCTCCTCTGGCTCTGCGCATGCCACAACTCCGCTGGACACCCCAAGAGCCCACGGAAGTAGCGAATTGCGCCCATCGCAGCCGCTCAGGGAGCAGAGATGTTTCGTCTGGATGTGGGCAAGCTACGAAACTGTCAATCACACCATTCGATAGAAACGACCATGCGCATCTACATGTGGCGCGAGAGAGCTTCTTTTTAAGATTAACGGATAAGATGTAAACATTGTTCTACTTGAATTGTATACTTTCTCCAGTGGGTGGTTGTCTCAACTCAACTCGAGCTGTGGGCATGCTACGGAGTTAAGCACATTTCCGTGATGCCGCGCATTCTCGCGCGCGCTGAATGCGAGACTGCCGCTCGCATGCCATTCGCATACATGGCACGGAAGCTCTACGAGTCTCCAGGCGGTAACCAAGGTTGACGGTTTACCGCCGGCGCCAAGTTCCGCGGCAGGGTGGAGCTAGTTTGCCGATCGGGTCAGAAAGCATAATGTGATGACCTGGCTCGATGTTTCGAACATTGTGAGAGATCTGACGATTCATTGAAAAATCATATTTTTTTGAGTTGAGCATTGGATCACGCTGCGCTCGCTGGCGAAAGTCTCAGGGTTGCATCTGCATTATTTCTATCAATTCACTTCCAGGGACCAACCTCAAGAATAATACATTTCGTTGAGAAACTTCAGATTTCCTGAGAACTACGAGAGATGCGACAAACCGTTTCCAGAACGAAAGATTGTTTCGCACCTGCAGTAGGATATTTCGCGTTCGCTGGTCAAATGTGGGTCTCTAGCTGCTGCACTACGATCGAAACACTTGGCGGAACTAAATTTGCGTTAAAACCCAAGAAAAAAATGGTTTTCAAGCTGATGCTCCAGGAAGCTTTCTATATGCAATGAGAGCACTCTGATGCATGTAAGGAGCTCTATGAGGTTTCCCGGCGGTAACCTGGTTGACGGTTTACCGCCGTCGCCCATGGATATTACTATAAAACAGACGTCCAAACGGGCGGGGGGGTCGAGGCTCATTTTGACACATGATACTGGTTTTCTCTACTCAACTGTAGCTGCAGGCAACGCACGGAGCTCAGATGCACACATTTCGACAGGAAATGGTCAGGAGCGCTGCTCTGAAGGATGGAGACGTCTGAGATCGGTAAACTACTCGAGCTGCGACCGAGAAACTATGTGCACTCCGTAGATCTTTCAGATGCATGTTCTGGTGTTCCGCGTTATCTCAAGATTTAGGGCAGCTACAGAGATTCGATTTGATACATAGCTTCAGCAGTATCAGTAACATCCGCGTAGAGAATGGAGACGCCTCAGATCGGTCGGCTACTCGCTACCACCGAAAAACTACTCGCACAGTGAAATTGTTCATGTGCATGTTGAGATGTCTGACTTGGTCTCTGGATTTAAGGCGGCTAGAGCAGGTTGTATCAGTAGCTGCATCAGCATGCGCATCTACGCATGGCCCGAGAGCTCGTCACATATGTAAATTGGCAGAAAAGATGCAAAAACAAACGGTTCAACTTTAGTCGTGCACTGTCTGATTGAATAGATTTCTGGTCTTAACTGAAGCTCTGGACACGCTACGGCGTTAGCAAGCACAAAATTCGATGGGAAACGACCACGCGCATCTTCACATGGAACGGGAGAGCTTCTCATTCTCAAGAGAGCTGTAATACTTAAACACTCTTCAACTTCAGTAATGTACTTCACTGGCGGCGAATAGTTCAAGATAGCTCGAGCTGCGAGCGAGCTACGAAGTTGTCAAGCACACCGTTATATAGGAAATGACCGAGAACATCTAGACGTAACGCGAGATAGCGTCTTCTTGTCCAAACTAATCGATGATCTGAAAACAACTGATCCACTTGAACCGAATACTTTCTTGCGGGCTCGCTACGAAGCTCTCCAACACACCATTCGATAGGAGATTGTCATGCGCATCTACACCAAGCGCGAGAGATGCCAAGAGCTCTACGAGGGTTCCGGCGGTAACCTGGTTGACGGTTCACCGCCGGCTCCCACTTCCTCTAACTCATCGATGCCGGGGAGCTCTACGAGGTATTCTTCTAGCTCATCGACGCCGAGGCGCTCTACGAGGTAATGGGAGCTGGCGGTAAACCGTCAACCAGGTTAACACCACAAGCCTCGTAGAGCTCTTCATACTTGAAGTAGTGCTCAGATTACGGTGAGAAGCCTTACTTCAAGATCAGCTTCTCTGTTCTATACAAAGTTGGTTCCGCCAAGTGTTTTGATAGTAATACTACAGCTACGGACCTGAGAAGTCGACAGGCCGACACGCCATAGCCTACTACAGGAACAGAAAATACTGGAGCTCTGTCGCTTGCTTCCTGCTAGATTTAAGTTCGCGGCACCATTACTATTTTGAAAAATTCATCCCGACGGCCGAAGGTTCCTTCACATTTTCGAGAGCTGTGCTGCAGGTGCAGCACTGATGATTTCACCATGAAACGTGCCATGACTGACTACAGGGAATAAAAACGAACAGCCAAATCTCTCAAAATGAACTCACCATGAAACGCGCCATGATTGGTTCCAAAACGAACAATTCAATCTCTCACAATCTTCCAAGAACCGACCCGAGGTCATCACATTGTCTGCCCGGGCCGAATGGCCCAACTAGCTCCACCCCGCGCCAGAAGTCCTCTAGCTCATCGGTGCCGAAGAGCTCTACGAGGCACTGGGAGCCGGCGGTAATCCGTCAACCAGGCTAACACCAGAACCCTCGTAGAGCTCTTCACACGCGAAATAGCGCTCAGAATACGACGAGAAACCTCACTTCGATATCAGCTGAAAAAACTCGAAAAACAAAAAAAACAATGTTTGGTGTGTTATACGAAGTTGGTTCCGCCAAGTGTTTTGATAATAATACTACAGCTACGGAACTGAAAATTCTCAAAACGAATAACCAAATCTCTCACAATCTTCCAAAAACCGCCCCCAGGCTGACACATTGTCCGCCCGGGCCGGGTGCGCCAAATAGGTCCACCCCGTGCCGGAACTGGGAGCCGGCGGTAAACCGTGAACCAGGTTACCGCCGGGGCCCTCGCACAGCTCTTCACACGCGAAGTAGTGCTCAGAATACGACGAGAAAGTTTGCTGGCATATCAGCGTAAAAACTCATGAAATGTTTTGTTCTCGGTTTCTACACGAAGTTCGTTCCGCAAGTGTTCTATCTTCAAAAAAAAAAAAAAAGCCGAGGTCATCACATTGTCCGCCTGGGCCGGGTGGGCCAACTAGCTCCACCCAGCGCTGGACTGCCACAGCCACCACCGCCACGGCCACGGCCACCAGGCCACGGCCACGGCCACGGTCACGGCCACGACCATGGCCATGGCCACCCCCGCCTGCTGCCACGCGTCTCCGTTCCCGCCCTTGCTCCCCTGCTGCTCCCGCTGCCCCCTGCTGCGCCCCTTCTGCCAACCCTTTGCTGTCCCTCCTTTCGCTCCGCTGCTGGCTCTGCCGCTGCCCTGCTTCCCTCTGCTGCCCGCTGCCGCCTCCCCCGCTGCCTGTCCTTCGCCCTTCCTGCCCCTTTCCCTCTCTTGCATCCCTCTTCTACTCTCTTCCTTCCTCCCTGCTCCCTCCCTCCCTGCTCCCTCCTCCCCCTCTGCTCCTTCCCTCCCTGCTCCCTCCCTCGCTCCCCCCCTTCCTCCCAGCTCGCTCGTTCCCTCCTGCCCCCTCCCTCGCTGCTACATCCTCCCTCCCTGCCCCCATTCCTCCCTGCTCCCTCCATCCCTCGCGTCCTCCCTTCATGCCTCGCCCTCTCCCTCCCTCTCTGCTTCATCATCTGTGATTCCTTCTTCCTCCCCGCTCCCTCCCTGACTGCGTCTTCGTTCTTTCTTCCTCTCTCCCTGCCTTCTTCCTGTCTGCCTCTCTGCTCCCTCCCTGGTCCTGCCTCTCTCCCTGATCCCTTCTTCCCCCCATGTTCTTGCTCCCTCCCCCCTCCCTCTCTGCCCCTGACTCTGTCTCGTTCCCTTCCTGCTCACTCTCCCCCCCCTCTGTTCCTCTATCTCGCCGCCGCCACGACGCTCGTAGTGCCTCGCACGGTGCTGCTCGGAACGCATCCTAGGATCTTCATTATGCGTAGGCTGAAGAATTCGAAAAACACGTTTTCCGATGTTCATCACAACTCGGTTCCCTCAAGTCTTTTCATAGTGATACTGCAGCTACGGACCTGAGAATTGCACAGCCGCGCGCAAAATAACCCACTACAGTGAGAAAAGCACCCGTGCTTACAACGAACTTTCAAATTCCAAACAAAGATACAAAACCGACCCGAAGTGATCACATTGTCTCTTTACGTCGGGTCTGTCAACTAGCTCCACCCTGCACCCGAATTCCTCTTAGCTTACTGAGATCCGGCGGTAAGCCGTCAACCAGGTAACCGCTGGGAGCCTCGTAGAGCTCTTTTCTCGCGCGGCGCTGCTCGAAACACACGGGACAAGCTTTCTCAAGCTTGAAGTAAAAAACTCGAAAAATACGTTTTTCGGTTTTCATCCAACGTCGGTTCCCTCAAGTGTTTTGATAGTAATACTGCAGCTACGGACCTGAGAATTGAACTGGCAGAGGCGCCAGAACCCACAACACGTGAGAAAAACACCAGTTCTCAAAACGAACTGTCAAATTTTGCACAAAGATAGAAAAAACGACCCGAAATTACCACATTG